TACTTTACTTACCTACTTAGTCTATTGTTATATACTTCTTATATATATATATATATATATATATATATATATATATAATGTTTTTAAGGTCATCTACAAAAATTGAGATAAAAAGAGAATCCCTCTAAGGCTTAGATATAATCATCCCATCAAATGGACGACCTATATGCATTGGATTTAGAAAAACACCACAATTTTTGTGGTGCATTTTCAAATTTTGTTTTTGGAGATTCTTCATCATAATGAATTTACTGTATGTTAAAAATCAGGGTTAAACAAGTGCTCCAAACATAGTTTTTGATGGTGTGGCTCATTATCTCACTATAAAACAGTTGCATGAAATAACTTCAATATGTATATACCCTTAAAAAGCATTGAAAGACCCCAATATTATTAGTATTATTGCTATTTACTATTATTATTGCCATTATTATTGTTATCACCATCATCATCATTATTATTATCATTATCATTATCATCATTATTATTATTATTTATGGATTCAGCCATTACTCTATTATATAGGCTGTTTGGACTTCAACAGCAGTGAATTTTATACATTTCGAAAAGGAAAACAAAGAAAAAAGAAAAGATAAAACAACAATGAAAGCATTCAATATAGCATCTTAACAGGAATTCTCCTTTCTTTTATATTTTTTTCCCCTTTTTTATGTATGAAATGTTTGGTATAATGGCCATTTCCATTACAAGATGATATCATCCTCTCGATGATTATAAGTTATCAAGACAAAAATTTCTTTGAAATAGAAGTCATCGCAATATGATATCGTTTCCTAAACCTTGTTACAAAAAGTTTTAGTAGAATTTTTCTTTTTGTGTGCAGTCTTTTGCCTTTGTCTTTTGTTTATTGCTACTATATTCAAGTCTGTTTGATAGCAAAAGGTTGTTAAAATGCTATAATATTTTTTTGATATTTCTTACCTTGTATAATTTTCTTTTGAACTTCAGTACTTGTGGATGCTGATGCATTCCTTGTAAGTTATTCGGCTCCAGTTCTTTCCAATTTTGAGGTGAGATCCTTGTGATCTACGCATTGTCAAGCTCTAAAAACCCATCACTCGTCACCAGTCAATTACCATTTGATGGAGAGGAATATGAAGCTGAACTACTCAAATGGATGGAGGATTCCTATGGAGGTGTTATTGTTCATTTGGAAGCAACTATGGATGTTGGAGCCTTTGTTTGCTCGCTGAGAGCATCGCTATCCCAATGGAGGCACTTGGTAATCTCTTGTTCACTGACTCTTAAGTTGGTTTAGCCATTGGATTCAGCTAAGATTTTGAGTGTGTATATTTTTCGCCCTCATGCACCTGAAAAATATATAAAAAAATAATTCTAAAAAAAAATGACAAAAAATCCCCTGCAACATTCATGGTTATTTTGGCCATTTTGTTTTTAATAAATATTTTTCTAGTTTCTCAAACTCTCAAAATTCTCAGCCATTTTCTCTAACTCTCAAAATTTTCAGCCCTATCTGATATATAAAATAAAACAAGATTCAAATAGTGCAAGCGAATTAGTAATTTCATAAAATTGTTTCATAGTAATGGAATGAAAATCCACCTTCAAAAGTCATGTTAGGGGCATTTGTTTGACCCCAATTTTGAAACATATACTATTTCATCTCGTTGAACAATATTAAAGAAATAAAATCTCAAAACCGCACACTAAAAATGTGGTTTTTTTAACACAATAATTGTAGGCCATTCATTTGATGGGATGGTTAGATTTGGGCCTTCGGCGATTTCTTTGATCTCAAACCTGGTTGATAGCCTTATCATCATCAAATGATCGAATTCTTTCTTAAGTTGAGTTGTAATTCTTAAAGGCCTAAATCTATTGTCCATCAAAACGAACAAACTATGTTCATTGTTGGAGTGAGATTAATTTGAACCTTTTTTAGGGTGCAAGTTCAATTTTTTTTCCCTTCTTTATGTGATTTGGTCATTGGGATAAAGCGAGTGTCTGTGCAAAATTTAGGGGTATAGACAGCGTTTTAAAGGAGTGTATTTATTAAATTATTATGAAGCTGTTGCATATGAACAGTATTTAAGAAGGGTGCAGTTTGCATACGGATGCATCCGTAGGTGTAGAGGTAAGGTGCACCTTCAAATGTTATCATGGTATATAATTTTGATGTAAAATGTTCTTAGGATTATCTCAAAATCTATTTTTATATCTAATTATAAAATTTTAAATTTCAAAAATGGTTAAAATTAAGTAGATCTATAAACATATGAAAATCTTGAAAATGGACGGTGTAGATAATATGTTGTAAAATGCACTATTTCTGAGACTTTAAAGCTTTTTATTTTTCATAGTCATACATCTCGATGTCGAGATGATCAATCAAAGGGTTTTTCAACATTCAAACTACCTTTTTCGATGGAGTTTTGAGGGGCATCCGTAGTTCTACATTATAAGGTAGCATCCTTATATAAACTTTTTTCATTTAAAAAATACTAAGAAAAATGCTAAACAGATAGTAAGTAAAACTAAACTTTAAGGCATTTGATAATCTATCCAATAAACTGGGAGCAAGAAAAGGTGAAAAAGATATCTTCAAATTAGCAAAAATAAGAGAGAAAAAGTGTAGGGATCTAAACCATATTAAATGCATTAAGAGTGAGAATTAAATGGTCTTCATGAAGGATGATGAGGTCAACGAAAGGTGCAGAGTTTATTTTCAAAAATTAAATGACGAACACAATGGGAACATAGTGGTAGAAAGGACTGTTGGTACAAGTGACGGTGGAGGTCATAGATACATTTGTAGGATTAGGATGTCGTAAGTAAAAGAAATTTTGAAAAAGATAAAGATCGGAAAGGCTTTAGGACCAGATGTTACCTTGATAGAGGTTTGAAATTGCATGGGGAAATTAGCATTGACTGGCTGGTGAAGTTGTTCAACAAGGTGTTGAGAATAAAAAAAATATCAGACGAATAGAGGAAAAGTATTGTAGTACCTATTTACAAGAACAAATGAGACATACAGAATTATGCAAACTATCGAGGGATCAAGCTTATGAGCCATACTATGAAGCTCTGGAAAAGAATCATTGAGCAACAACTAAGACATGAAACGAGTGTATCTGAAAACCAATTTGGTTTTATGCAAGGACGGTCAACAACTGAAGCTATTTTCCTACTTAGAAAACTGATTGAGATGTTTAGAGCGAAGGGAAAAGACCTCCTCATGGTCTTTATTGACCTAGATAAAGCTTATGCTAGAGTGCCTTGAGATTTGATTTGGTCGGTGTTGGAAAAGAAAGGTGTCTCTAAGCACTACATCGACTTGGTGGGATATATGTACGATGGAGCACTAACTAGTATACGAACAACTAGTAGAGAGATGAGTGAGTTTTTAGTGACAATAGGTCTACATCAAGGGTCAACATTGAGCTCATACTTCTTTTTCTTAGTTATAGACGACTGGACTAGGCACCTACAGGATGAGGTACTGTGGTGCATGTTGTTCGCAGATGACACAGTTTTGATTGAAGAGACCCGAAATGGCATCAACACAAAGTTAGAACTTTGGAGGGATGCTCTAGAATCCAAAAGTTTTAAAATTAGTCGATCTAAGACAAAGTATCTGGAGTGTAAGTTTAGCAATAATAGGTGTAAAGACGAGGAAGTAGTCAAGATTGACAGCCAGAAAGTATAAAAAGACTGCACTTTCCATATCTTGGGTTGATAATCCAAGAAAATGGTGAGATTAAGGAAGATGTTTCACACAAAATCAGAGTTGGGTGGGCGAAGTGGAGATGTACAACTGGAATTTTATGTGATCACCATATACCAATGAGGCTGAAGGGCAAGTTCTATAGGACAATGGTGAGACCAGCTTTGCTCTATGGGGTGGAATGTTGGGCTGACAAAAAACAATATACGTATAAAATGAGTGTAACAGAAATGACGGTGTTGAGATGGATGAGTAGAAATACAAGAACGGATAGAATTCGAAATGAATATATTCGAGAGAATTTAGGCGTGGCACCAATAGGCGATAAAATATGAGAGAATAGACTTAGACGGGTTGGCCATGTGTGGTGCCGACCAAGTACAACACCTGTTAGGAGGTGTGAGTTAGTTCAAGTGGAAGGACTGAAAAGGGCAAGAGATAGGCCCAAAAGGATGTGGTTGGAAGTAGTCCGAAAAGATATGGAGACTTATGGCCTCACTGAGGATATAGCTTTTAATAGAGAAGAATGGATTGATGTAGCCGGCCCCAATAATTGGGAAAATGCTAAAATGATGATGATGAGGATGTTACATGAAATCATTTCCCTATGTAAATATATAAATGGAGAGAGAGAGAGAGAGAGAGAGAGATTAAATAAGCTGATTGGCCTATAACACAATACATGATTGACGGCCACGATAGGAGGAGAGAGAAAAATGGCCTAGATTCTTGTGCTAATAAAATCACTTTTTTTTTTAGAAAAGTAGGGGTCGTATGCACCCTAAATGTTGCACGCATTTAGGTCACATCTAGCTTCTCACAATAAAAAAGAATGAATTCGCACTAAAATTTGGGGCAAAATGAGTTCAACATCCTCCATTTTGTCTCTTATGCTTCAATCTGGGGCATCTAGCTTATACTTTTCAAGAGGCCCCATGGCTATGCGCCTACACATGCAGCCACGCTTGTGGGCTAAAAGTTGGCACATGAGTATGGGCAAGGTAACCACCAAACGAAAAGAAAAAGGGCCCGGGGGGGGGGAGGAGTTATTGGGGGTTCAGGGGGTATATAAAACTAATTTTGATGGTTCTTTGATGATTAAAAGACTAAAAAAAAAGAGTAGTTGGATAATTATTGGAATCTAAAGTTTCTGAAAAGAAGAGATTCTTTTGGTTATCTTTTTAGAAAATTTGTTTTTGGTTATTTGGATTATTTCTTGAGAGTTGATTATCTTTTGTTTTTTTATTGTCTTCATAAACTTTTGGTAGTTGTCTCTTTGGAGTTTGAAATTTAGAATATGGAATTTTGGATGTTTATGTGAAGTTTGGAAGTTTGGGTAATTGAGATAGAATATATTGCTTTGTTTTACATGTTAATTGTATGAAAGATTTGCAACAAACTCTATAGCTCTTTATCAGGCTATTATTATATTTGTTATGGAATTGCATAAAATAAAATATCTACAATCACATAAATCACATCTATGTTTTTTTCTATATATTATTATATTTGTTATGATTTTTTAGATTTTAAAAAAATATATGGACTGCACCTTGATAGCATAGGCAAATTAAATTTCTATCCTGAAATACGTGAAGACCAATTGTTTGTGTTTGAATTAACTCCCATGATAGTCCATGAAGAGCTGTCCTGCACATGGTCTTTTCCCTTGTGCACACATACACAAAGATATATATAAATAAATGTATGCATGTAGGTACACATGCTCATATATTCCTTGGTTTATATACCTTTTACCATATGAGCAGGCTATGGAAATTGTTCGACTTCTATATTTATATTTTAATCTAGCAGTACTGGTCCCTGAATATGGTGGAATCCACCATACCATGTGGAGGTGGAGCCTGGTAGTCCTCTGGTATGTTACTCCATCTTGTTTCAAACTCAAATGTTCTGTTATACTTCCATTCTTCAGGTTGATTACATAAATATTGGTTACTAAGTGCTAGAAATTAATATTGACACAGAGAGTAAAGTTGGGAAAGAGCTGATCTTGGGGATCAGAGCAACTGAGATCAAGCTAGAGGAAGTGGCTAGTAGGCTGAGTCTCCCTCTATATGTGAGTACATCTAGGAAGAGCCTCCCGAACCCAATGGGATACTTTTTTATTAGTCCAGGAGCCCATGGCTGAATGATTTAAAGGAGGTTGATGCAATGAAAGATCCAATGACTTTAATTTGGTAGTGGTAGATACTTATCAAAGAAAAGGTTGGTGGTGGGAATTGTTGTAATGATATTTAGACAATTGACTCTTATTCTTGGGATTTTGTTTCCAAAGCCATTGATTTTGATAACTTTCATCTAGGGTGGTCTCTGAAGGTGTGGCAACAGTGTGTCCAAGTACTTCTGATAATGATTTGCAGCAGCATTTTTGGACTCACCCAAGCCCACTAGGACTAGGGCGAGTGACGCGGCCTCATGCTAGTGGCAAGGCGAGTTGGGTACCCAACTCACCATCCCACAAAAACCTCCAAAAAAATACAAAACAATGTTAAAAAACACAGAAAAGCATAGAAAACAGCAATATGTTAATCAGCAATATGTTTTTAGATGATTTTGAAAGTTTCTAAGATGATTTGGGAACTTTTATATTTTTTGTCCTTTTTAATTTTTCTGAAATAGTTAAGTTTAAAATCAAGTTATTCAATAATCCATCTTTGATAGATTGTTTTTATCTTTAGTATTTTCATGCTCTCTATTATCTCTTCTGATTTTCTCTGATTTTTAACTTTTTTTAACTTTTTTTTTTTACTTGTGTTTTTTTTTTCACAATTTTCTTGGGTTTATAGGCTGAGTCCACTCGGACTCTGCCAAGTTACTCACCTTGGCAAAGGGCTGAGTACCTTGGCTGAGGCGACTTCCTAAACATTGATTTGGAGCTGTTACTCTGGTGGTGACATATTATATTAAATTTGGGCTTTTTACTGATTGTTTTACTACCGCCAGATCTCTCCATTGTATAATATATTTTGATGCATCAACATCTTTTCTAGCATTTTTTAATAGTTTCTGCTCGACCAACTTCTCCAATCTTGTTTTACAGGGTAAGAAAGAAGTTCTGATGAAATTACCTATTGAACAATCACATCTTGTTCATGCTGCAGTTCGGGTATGTCATTTGGAGTGTGGTTACTTAAAAAGCTGAAATATTACTTTACAAATATTTTCAAGCACCTATTTGTTCCTGTTCTATGTGTATTCCATTTTTATTACATGCATTGGATGCTTTTGTATGAACTCTAGTCTTTTATGGATGGTTGTGATTATTTCATGCTTTTGCTTTCTGCTGATTGGGGTGTTTTTGGAGAATGTTGGGATTTAATGGGGTATATAGCTTTGGTTTAAAGCAAAACTATACCTCAAAATTAGAACTTAGTGTTTAGTGCTTTTAATAAATAATGATAAAAATAAATAATTCATAATGAAAGTAAATCATAAGAAGAAAGATACCTTTGGAAAAGAATGCATTTTTGGGGAATGTAGTTTTCGAAGGCATGAAACAAGGAATGCATGAGGAGAGAAGGCATTCCTAACATATATCACTAAAAATGCTACCATTTCATAGACCAGCAAAATCAAAACACTGAAGGTAGGAAAGGCATGCCTCATGTATTCCATTAAGACAGAGGAAAATTATATGATAACATACTGGACTGTTGAAAACCTTAGTCCTTGGGGTCCACCCCCATCTCATGAAATGATGGATGGTGATGAAAAGAGAGTGGGCCCTCGAGAGTAGGACATGACTCCTATGGTGTGTCTCAATCGCTATCTATCACCATTCTTCATCTCATTAGATGATGATGGCCTCAATGAAACATTTTTTTCTCATAGACCATGGCATTATCAATGGTATACCTTTCTGCTAAGAATACTGTGTACTAGGTAGTTTCTCATAGGCTCTGAACCATCACTCCCTTTCATATCATTAAAAAATAAATAACTAAAAAAAAGGGAAAAAAGAAGCATCCTATTTTATTGGATTCTTCTTAAAATCTTTAGGTTAAAGCAATATGGCCTAGCCAAAAATACAAATGTTTGGACTTCAGATAGTTGGCAATAGTAGACAAAGTCCTTACATTGAACCACCTGACACATTAGGACTACCTATACGCAATCGCAGCATCATGAGCAAATAAGAAGAAAAAACAATACATCACCTTTTTAGTTTTTATACATTACCATGTTGTTATACAAGTATGAACCTTAATTTACAGTCCTTTTTTTTTGAAACTGTTCACTGTTAGTTTACAGTCCTTTGATATAGTATGGATTATGCCAGAACCATAGTGGATTCCAATACCCCATCAATGCTGAACTTAGCGTATAGGTTATGGAGATTCTCTGTGCTGATCATCTTGTGGTTGATATGACTCGAAATAAAGGAGAACAGCCAAGTAGCACCTCGTATCTTCTATATATAAAACGCGAGGAGGTTCATGACTAGGAAATTCGTCTAAGACTTAATAGTTAGGTGAGTTAGGTTCAGACTTAGAGGTAGGTTCGGATGGAGAATAAAGAGGGAAAAGTTAGGTTTAGATGGAAGCTACATGTTTCGTGGCCACGTGCCATCAAGAAAGCTTGAACAATTTTATCAAGTGGGCAACCTAAAAGCTTAGGTCAAGAATAATAACTAATAAAATTATAACATACAAGTATTTTATGGTCCATTGGCTACATGATTCATCATGTAAAAGTTTTACTAAAAATTTAAATTGCAATTTTCATTTTAAAATATTCATTTTAATTAGAGATTTGTGAATTTTAGATTAAAAATGCTACTAAGCATGCCTTTTACCTCAAGACATAAATATACAATATGATCTCCAGGAACCACATTGCAAAGTAAACTTCCAAGCATTAAATAGGGAGGACGTCATCAAATGTCATCCCGCTAGAGTGCTTTTTTTGTTTAGTTCCAACTTGTCCCTATATTTAGCTGAAATACCATATAGTCCTATGAACTTATAAAATTATTTATAAAATATGTCATTATTTCTAATTTCATAAATTATTCGAAATAAATACTTTATAAAATAGAAATTTGAAATGAAACATCAAATCTATTTTGAAGTTTTAATAAATATAAGTTTTAATAAATACATCAGTATTTTATTTAAAGGTAAATATTTTCATATAAAAGGCTAGATTTTTAACAAATCATAATTAAAATATTATCATTTTATCGACACAACTTTGAAATACCAACTTCTTAAATATTTAATTTATAAAGCAAACTTAGTTTACTATTAAGTATAAATTAAAATATATAATAAACTAAATTATTTATTATATATAAAATCCTAGGAAATTAATGTTAATATTATCTTTTTATTTTGATAGTATTTAAATAATTTGCTTAACATTTTCAAATTTTATGCATAGATCATATTCTATCCTGTCTTTCTTTTTTTCTTCTCAAAATGCCATTTATTCCGATTTGCAAGTCCCAAGACTTATTATTTCACATAAATTCCAATATTCCAAGACTACTAATTTCATTTCAATAAAACTTCTAAAATTTTCTAATTTTGGTGTTTGATAAATTTAAAAGCGATATTTTAATAAGGGTGCGGTTTGTATGAGATTCCAACCTTATTTCTACAAATAAGGTTTACTACACTCTACACAATCATTGACAAGGTGGTAAAGTATCTATGACAGTATCTATCACATACTACTATTTGTGTTCCGTTGGGAATATTCTATTTCAATTGAAAACATATATATAATTTTCAGAATATGGAAACTTTAATTTTTTGAATTGAAAGCATTTATTTGTGATTAAAAATGGATTTCTAAATATTCGATCGCAAAAATACTTAATCAGTTTTGATAGAGTAATTGCATATTAGCCTCCCAACAGATTATGTTATACAAATTTCCCAAACCAAAAGGCTATTATGGTAGGGTGTGATTTGTATAAGGCCGAGGCCTAAACAATCAAAGTAGGGCACACCTTCAAATAGTACCGAAATATGTTGTTTCTAAATTAGAAATCTTTATGATGGCCTGAAATTTATTTTCATCTCTAATTATAAGTTAAAAAATATTGTAGATTGAGTAGATCTATGAACACGGTCTAGGTAATTCAATGCAAGATACATCATTTCCAAGACTTGAAATCTATTTTTTCTCATGTCCATAGGTCTTGAGGTCAAGATGATCGAATCGAGGGTTTTTCAGTATCAAAGCAACCTTTTCTAATGAATTTTTGAGGTGCACCTAATTTGATTGTTTAGGGCCTTACCCTTATATAAACTTTTTCCATTATATTATGCGGCAAAAGAAACAATAACTACATTAGAACTTTTACAAAATGATCAACATCTTTAAAGAAAATGATAATTGAGTCCTTGATTATCTAATAAAAAATTTATATTATAAAATAGAAAATCACATCCAATTTAGTAAATTTACATTTATAGTGTTTCCTAATAGTTGTTTAAAAAGCTACAATTATTCGCATCAGGTGAAAAAAATTTAAAATATAAATTATATTTTGAATAATTATATTTTACAATTGTAGTTTTAAATAGTCAATTTTTTTTATTAATAAATGTAAGTGATTTTAAATTGATAATGATAACTTATAATTTATAATAATGCAAAATTTGAATAATCAATAATGCAAGATAGTTTATTTTGGATGAAAAATCAACCTTTTACTCAAAACATGAGACATTAAATCTTACATTTTTGTATCAATAAAAATTACCTAGGTCAAAAAATAATTCTCAGATTTATAAA